CTGGTCCGATGATCACAGAGCAAGAGACAAGAAAGGCAAGGCTCACCAAGCCATTTATCTCTCTGCCCTTCAGTCAATCCCACCTGCGTTTATCAGCCAGGCTGGCACAATAAACTATCTCCGGGGTGAATCCACACAAATATGCTATCAAGTCAATTCCAACTCATAGCGACACTGTAGGGCAGAGCAGAATTGTGCCTGTGGGTTTTTGAGATTGTAAATCTTTCCAGGAGTAGAAAACTTCATCTTTCTTCCACAGAGTGGCTGGTAGTTCCGAGCTACTGACCTTGTGGTTAGCAGCCCAATCTTTAACCAGGGCTCCTATGCATAGATATAGAATGACTGCAACATTGATGGAGGACAGAATTACTTGTACATCTTAAAGGCAGGGCTTACCTTTAGTGTTTGTTTTGTATTTCAATGTTTTTGTTTCTAGCTAAAAAACATGTTTTATTTCTTACACTGCTGAAAATAAATACAGGCATGACTTACCGTACACTGAATAGTCTGTATAATTCATTTCTTGTTTAGTAGTGCTACAGTTTTCTAAGTTACTGAGGTTTTTCATCCTCTCTAGGAAGGTGTGTACTTACTGTATAAAAACCAAACCCACTGCCATTGAGTGGGTTCCCACTCCTCATGACCCTTTAGGACAGAGCAGAGCTGCTCCTGTGGATTCCTGAGACGGTAAACCTTTGTAAAAGCAGGCAGCCTCTTTAACCCACCGCCACCCCCACCCCTGTGGGCTGACTGGTGGGTTTGAACTGCTAATATTGTGGCAGCGCAACACTTAGGTGACCATTATCTTAGTTGGCCTGGAATAGTCCCCGTGTTCCAGGGAAATTATTAACAACACCCTTTTCAACCTCAGAAGTATCATGGTTTGGACAATAAATTACAATGCCACTCTTATTCAGTCAAACCACGGAACATCCCAAAGCCATTACAACTCGTATTTAGAATATTTGGTAAGGTGATAGCATAGTTCAATTTTTAAGGAGAAAAGCATGAAAAATCAATAAGTATATTATTTATAAACTACATGTAAAGAAGATTATGGATTCTTCATAGTCTTTCACATATTCCAAATGTCTGTAATGAACATGTGTCACCTTTAACATTGAGACAAAACAAAGCAGCAGTGAGGAAGAAGAGACAAGAAGTGCAGCTAACACTTTGGGTAAGGGTAGGACCCAGAGAGTGGTGGTCATAGTGATGGTAGTTCAATTAAGATATGGAAACTTTTTGAGAAGGAGCTGGTTGAGAAGAAGAGGATAAAAATGTAAATTAAAAAATGTAATTCCAACCTAGAACTCCCTCTCAGGGGGACGAACAACGGAAAACTGGGTGAGGGGTGATGGAGGATGATGTAAGATATGAAAAAATAATCTATAGGGTATCAAGGGTTCGTGATGGAGGGTGGGCAGGGAGGGGAGGGGGAAGAAATGGGCAGCTGATATCAGGCGTTCAAGTGGGAAGAGAATGCTTTGAAAATGATGATAGCAGTATATGTGCAAATGTGCTTGACACTGGATGAATGTATGGATTGTGATAAGAGATGCAAGAGCCCCCAATAAAAGTCTTTAATAATAAAAAAAGAAAGTAAATGTCTAGAAAATAATGATGGCAACATATGTACAAATATGCTTGATACAATTGATGTATGGATTGTTATGAGATGTAAGAGCCCCTAATACAATCTTTTAATAAATAAAAGAAAAAAAACATAAATCAAGGAACAATTAAGGGAGCAAAGGATTAGGGGACATAAGGAAGACTTATCAGTAATATACAAGGAAGGGGTAATAGGGCACTAATATCAAGGAGTTCAAGAAAGGAAGAAAATTATTTTGAAAATGATCGTAGTAGCAATTGTACAACACTACTTGATATGACTGAACTATTGAATGGTATGAAATCTGGATTATATCCAAATTAAATTATTTTCGGGGAAAAAAGAAATATTTTGTTAGGTTAAAAAAAAGAATACACACGAAGAAATTCAGCAAGAGCAGGATGCGTGCACCATTGTAAGACAAGAGGGGAGGAGGGAAGAAGAACAGAAGTTTTCAAGTGCAATGGGACAGAAGGCCTACCTGAAGCACCAAATTATATACATGAGGGGGTACCCCAAAACAAAACAGAAAAAGCTTTCATAGTATGCATTTTTCCCACTGACTCTGAGTAAGTGCACCTAGTGGCATCACCTGGGAAGGTTCTCTCTGGTCACAGTGAATTTTTTTCATAAAAGCAATTTCACTTGAACCTCATTTTTTGTGATGGCCAATTTAAGAGAAAAGCATGTGGCTGTGAAATTTTGTTTGCTGCTCAGGAAAAACGCCTCAGAAACTGCTGTGATGTTGAATACAGCTTACAAGGACAGCACTATGGGAAAACTATGAGTGTATGAGTGGTTTTCTCATTTCAAAAAAGGTAAAATGTCAATTGATGACAAACCTCATTCTGAATGTCCGTCAACTTCCCAAATGGATGGAAATGTTGACAAAATTCATGCACTTGTGCTCAAAGACCGATGATGGACCATTGACGAGATGCGGAAGTTATCTGAACCATCTTGGAGCTCAGTTCAGCAAAATTTAATGGGAGATTTGGGAATGAGAAAGGTTGCTGTGAAATTTGTACCTCCCCTTCTGACTGACCAGCAAAAACAGCATTGAGTGACAACTTGCCATGCTTTGAAAGAACAGCTCCTAAGCAACCCAGACTTTTTTCCTAATATCATTACTGGCGATGAGACATCGTGGTATTCTTATGCCCCTGAAAGCAAACATCTATCAAGCCAGTGGAAGACCGCCATCATCACCTTGCCTAAAAAGCTGAAATCTAAGTTAAGACAATGCTCCTTTGTTTTTTTGATGTGAGGGGGTGTGGGATTACAAAGAGACTTTTCCCCAGCTTTGTCTACCCCAAAGACATGCCAAACATTAGGGGCTTTTTGCCAGCATATGGTGGGAGGTCAGATGCTTAGAGACATGCTCCCTGAAGGCAGTCAGTCGTCAGACTAAGGTTCGTAGATCCCACTCCCTGCTGTTAAGGACAATGGGCTACTTCTCCCTAAAGGCTTGCAGTCATCTATTTGGTTCCTGTAGGTGGAGTTCACACCCTACTTACTGATACTGGTCTACAGTTGAGCCAGGGAACAGGTCAAACTGGCTCAGTGACATCCAAAGTTAGGCAGCCATCCTGAATCTAGGACCGGCTCATCTTGCCCCATGTATACCCCCAATCCCTCTTCCTAGTGTGTTTATACCCCTAGATCACCCCCTCCCATTACTGTATTACCTATAGCACAACCCTTTCCTGTGACATATGTCTTCACCTGTAATTAGGGGGCTTGCATGTCCCCAGACAATATAAAAGCCTTAGTTAGCATTAAATCTCTCTCTCTCTCTCCATGTGGACCACTGAGTGAGGCTGAGGTCAGCATTGCTACCATGAAATGTGTCTGACTCCATTATTTCTACCTCTCTTCTCCCATGCTCTTTGTGACTTTACTATAATCTTTACTTATTATCGCTGTACGATTGCGCCTACCGGACCCGTGATGATGTATTAGGGGCTGGATTTACCCTGACAAGGGGGATAGTGCATTTGGAGTTGGTTCCACCGGGTCAGATTGTTAATCAAGCTTTCTATTTAGGGGTTCTGAAAAAGTAGCATAACCTGTGTTTGACAAAAAGCCTGGTTTGTGGCAGATGGGGGACTGGTTTTGCCATCACAACAATGCACCTGCTCATACAGCCATCTCAGTGTGCCAGTTTTTGGCAAAAAACCACATGCCTCTCTTGCCCCATGGACCTTACCCCCCTGACCTCGCTCCTTTTGACTTCTTTTTATTTCTGTGAATTAAGAGAGACATGAAAGGTCAGCAATTTGACAAAGTTGAAGAGGTGAAGAAAATATGAGGGAGGTGCTACCAGCCATCTAAACAGATGAGTTTGAAAAATGTTTCCAAGAATGGAATGGCAGATTTGACAAATGTATTAAATGTATTGGAGAATACTTGGAAGGTGAAAAGGTTGTTTTGTAAAATACATAAATACAAGCTTTACAAAAATTCCAGTTTTTTGGAGTATCCCCGTGTGTGTGTGTGTGTGTGTGTGTGTGTGTGTGTGTGTGTGTGTGTGGTGGTATGTAACTATTTTTACGTAGCTCCCTGGTTTGGTATTTTGTGGGATATTTTGTTTCTCTAATTCAGATTGGCCTTCAGTTCACTGAGCGGAAGAGCAACTGTTCCTTCGAGAAGACTGCTTGGATAGACCTTCTGCCGTCATCACAAACCTCCAGGGTGCTTGGATGACAAACAAAACCCACTAGATTGGACTGGGCTAGTTTCAAGCTCTCACCGTCTTACCCGATAGCAGGAGATTCCCACTCCTAACCAAGTCAGACAGGAAGGTGATCTCTTACAAGCTTGCAAGTAGGTTCTCTTTGCTTTTTCATACTGCAGAAACAAGTAGCACCAAGTTAGTGTTCTTTTAGAAGATACAAACACTGCATTGCTGGGACCATCTCGGGGCCTCTGAGAGTTGCCCTTCAGAATAAGCCAAGTGTGACTATGTTTATTTGTGTCTACTCTAAGGGACTGCCACAAAAAGTGAGAGGAGACAGCTGGGCCAAACTAAAGGGCTGACTTGGAGTTAAGCAGTCCCAAAGGTATTACTAGTCTCTGTAAGAGTTGCAGCCAGGAGTGCCACTGACATTTCTAGGCGACCCCAACGCTTATCTGAATTCTACCTAGCACCTGCACGTCATCCCTTTGACTTAAAAGTGACTTGGTAGCTGCCTGATAGATACACAGAACCACAGGACTAATCGATGCCCAACAGTAAGAGAGATACTTGACCCAGCCTCATCATGCAGAGTCCGCTTCCTTGGTGAAGGTCTTAGGAGCGCTCAGTAGCACCGGACACAGTCAGAAAACACGACCTAAAACAACTTCGGAGGAAGCAGCTCTCCAAGGACTACCCTCCAAGGACCACTTTTGCCTCAGTTGATCCTCAGCCTACTGTGTGCCTACTGACTGCAAAGGTGAAATGGCAGCTCACCATGATATCAGACAGAAAATGTGTCCTTATTTAACAGTGATTTCTCTCAGAACTTTTGTGTTGACAAAGAAGCTTGGAGAAGTCCTTTTTAAGTCCATAAAGCATTATAATGCGTATCTATGACGAATGTGCTGTTAGTCGTTTTCAAGTCTGTTCTGATTTCTGGCCACCCATGTGTGCAGTGTGGGACTGTGCACCGCAGACTTTCCAAGGCTCTGATCTTTTATAATCTTATGTATTAATATCTTTGTAGTAGCATAATGTTCAGACCACAGACTTTGGTAGTAGATTGCCTCGGTTTGAATCCTGGTCTCACTAATTACTGGTTTTCTGGTGGTGGGCTAGCTATTTTAACCTCTGGCTGTAAAAGTGTCATCATTCTGTGGCTATTTTTAGCATTCTTCCCACCAACACACACACACACACACACACACACACACACACACACACACACGCCCACTGCTGTAAATTTCATAGAAGCAGCTTGCTTCCTCTGTCTCCTGAGGGCAGCTCCTTAGCAGTCCAACACTTACCTGGCTGTGGCACCAGAGTCCCAAACCCACACATATGTTAATACTTGAACTGTAAGCAGGTGCCAGACCAGGGCCTGATTTAAATGGCTATCCCTATCCTCCATCGCTCACCTCTTTCTCTTCCAGGTAAATGAGGCCCAGGCGCAAGAAGATGAAGTGCATCTCAGAAGCATCAACTACGAAACTAATGGTTCGCTCATAGCATGCTTTGGCTTCAGCATGATTTCCACTCAGAAAATAGAGATGCCCTTTAACTCCCCAGACATTAGGATTCTGAAAAAGGGAAGAGAAAGGAGTGTGAATCGAGAGGCTGTTAAAACTTTAAAGATCCTTGTATGAAATTTAATTTGAGTGTGTCTGTTTTCTTTCACTAACTGTTCTCAGAAAGAGGATTATATATGAAGGTTTTCAGTTTTACTGGGAGTTTTGTTTTGTTTTTCTTTATGTTTTCCCTCACATTTCTTTCTTGAATTCTTCAAAGTCATTTCACCTTGGGGTAACTATTTTAGAACAAAAACATTCCACCCTGGCCATAACAGCATTCACAATGGGAAAACAGAAGTCCAGGAGCCTGGAAATACAGATTCGTAGAGGAGAGCTGTCTCAGTCATCCTCTTGACCCTTTGACAAGCTCATGATTGCTGGAGAAAAACACAGAAGGGAGCAGATGGATGAGCTCCCTGTGCCTGCCTCCGACCACCAGAAATCACCACCTCTCATCAAGGCTGATCACCCTTTCTCCAAACGCCAGAGGTTCTAGCAAAGGGGATTTTATTACCAGGTAGTCCATCTGGGCTGCCTGTTGAAGGTATTCTTCTGCCTTGGCAAACTCCTTCTTGAGGAGGTGTGTTTGGGCCAGCACCAAGTAATACTCACAGCTGGGTCCCCCTTGAGGGCACAAGAGCTCATGGGCAAGCACCCTGTGCACATACTGCAAAGGGAAAAAGAAAAAGGATCATGTGGAGATCTTGAAGGTGCTGTCTCTGAGAATAAATAGTAAGAAGCATAGACAGTGACATACTTATTCTCCACCACAAAAGGTTAGGGGTGAGTGACAAACCTTCAGCCTATCATGGTCCCACTCCCAACCATACTGAGTCACCACATGTAGACATTTCCATGTGAATAGCCGGTAGTCTAGTACAACCATTATACTAGATGAGCACAGGCACTTTATCAACCTCCTCATTCACAAATGAGGAAACATTTTCAGGGAACCAGAATTGTAAGGCAAAACCTGCCTTCCTAAACTTCTAGACTCCGAATCTTGGACACACACGTTTGTTTCTGACATACCCGTAAACGTGTATATCTCTATGTTTAGTAGTATTGGGCTATTCTTTGCTTTGCTTCTTCATCTTTCCCTCTGTTCTCATCTCAGTCTGTCTGTAACATAGAAACTTCCAACGTTTCTATCTGCTTTGGAAAGTTCTGGGGGAGAGACTGCAGCTATGTTTTTCTAACTGCCTGCTGACTTTCACGTATGGGGCTAGTGACTTACTTGGCTGCTCACGGACAGGTCAGCGATTTGAACCCATCAACTGCTCTGGGGGGCAGGGTTGTGGCTGTCTGCTTCCGTACACATGAAAGCCTTGGAAACTTTACGGGGCAGTTCTACCCTGTTCTTCCTAGTCCCTGTGGGTTGGAGTGGACTCAAAGCAATGGGTTGGGTCATTGTTTTTTGTGGTGAAGCCTCATACTTAGTGTGTACCATCCCAATCACTTCCTAATTCTTGTCCTTTCTTGGGCATGATGCCCCTCTAGTAGAACATGTAGGGTCAAGGCCAACGCTTGTCTCTTATTGCTTGCTTCATACAGGTACTATTGTACTTCCCAAGTGTTATGCAAATGCAGACCTTACATTGGCGTGTGACTGGTCTTATTTTTATATTTGACTGGCTAGGCAAGTCAAATGTAGGACCTATAGTATTCCACATTCTCTAGCCCAGTTTTACCAATAAAAATAATTTGATATTATTAAGTCCTGCCCTCCCTGCTCCCCCACCCCCAACCCAACCACCCGGCAATATAGCATTGTGAATCTTTTTCAAATTGGTTTGGTTTTGAACCTGGAAGGGAAGAAGGATATAATTAAAATCCTGTGAACTCCTCCACACGCACATATTATGAATGAAGAAGGCTATTTGTTTTGCTCTAAAGAGAGCAAGCACAAGGTAGTCTTCGGACAACATCTACAGATAATGATTATTTCCACTGGGCTTGTGGTATGCTCTTAAAAACATACTGATTTCTACTTCACACACACTGAAGCGTCTAAAAATATCACTATGGATAGAATCAGAAGTTCAGTAAAATATTTCCACACTTGCTCTTCTTCAAAATATCCTTACCTGCACAGCATTGGCCTTCATCAAAAAGCGTATGGTCTCCATAAAAATGGTACCAGCAGTTTGGGAAACACCTGGATGAGGGGCAGGACCCAAGGCAGCTGACGAAGTTTGTTGACATTTTGATGTTTCTGAAAATGTGATGTTGAAAAAACAGAAGACTTTGCTATCAGAGCGGTAAGAGCCCCCAATAAAATGATCTTAATTAAATACATAAAAAGACAGAAGACTAATGTAAAGAGGAAAAATGTCAGAAGAGGAAATCCATTACTGAAACAGGGAGAGTATTCTT